CCATTTTTACTTCTTGGGGTGTTTGCTGGTGCTTCTGCTTTGATAATATTTGTTGGTTGTTGGAGTAAGGTTTTGAATTTTATGCTATTGGATTTCTTTTTTTGGGAGTATACATAACAGTGATGACATTTTCAATGGTGATTGTGCTTTACTTTGATTGTAAAATGGGTTTTTGTTATGTTATTATTAACTTTCTTCTTTTTATGCAACTGGGGGCAAAATGCCTGAGAAGAAAAGAAAACACTTCTTAATCATTCCTTCTTTGTGGGCTGTTTTGTGCTCAGATGCTAATGAAAAGGAAGCTGAGAAGGTTTCTGAGAAGCTCCAATCAGCTGGAATCTCTTCAGCTGGCGCTGATGGAGCTGTGTCTTCAGCTCAATCAGGTTTCAAATATCGTTTTATTTTTATTTTTATGTGTTTGTGAATAGATTCAGTTCACTAACCAAATATGTTTTTCATTGTCCATGCTTGGTAACCCATAATATGTTGTGAATTTTTTCTGTCTTTTTTTTTTTTTCCCTTTTTGCAGAGACATTATTAAATGTTTTGGGCATGGATCATTTTTGTTTTCCCTTCACTTATTATGTAATGTTTTTAAATTTTAGGGGAGACATCATCTAAGCAAGAAGAAGTAAAGCGTCTTCCTGGTGGGAAAATAAAGAAAAAAGTAAGATTTTTTTGTTGTTTTGCTTTGGCATATATGTATTCTCATGACAATGAAAGCTTAGTGGTAGTTCTTGTGTTCTTGATAATCATATTAAATGTCTGAGCTTGTGGCTTTGAAATTTATTGATTATCTTGCCATTTTAATTTCTTTTGTCAATAATGAAGATATACCTTGAATAGCCGCAAGAGTTAGTTTTGAATTGGAAAATTTTTTGGGTATTGAGATGACACTTTCCTAGATTAGATTGGGATGGATACCAGGCCTGAAATTGATATAGAAGATCTTTTGGCATGTAAAAGGTGCTATTTTGATGGACTCAAGATTTCTTTGTAGATATTTGTTGAGCCAATTCTTTGAAGACTTTACTCATAGAATGATCTGAAACATCATATCTCATACAGCATCACACTAGATCTCAATTCTCATAGAAATGCAATAGATACATTGTATGTTTTTCACTTGGTTTCTAGTGTGCCATGTTATATCAAATGTTTTTATGCAACCATGGAGGTTTTTATAGGAGCACCAAAAGTCATCTATTTTTTAACTGATGCTGAGATGTTCATTTAGTTTTATTGGGAACTACTGCTTGTGGACCATTAGATTCTTCCTTAAGAATTTTGACACTTATATTTATTTTATCATTTTTCTTATTAAATATTTATTTTATCATATTGTTGTTATCCTAATGCATATTATTGTCTTCCTTTCTTCTTTCTCTCCTTTCCTACTGTCAAACAAAAAAAAAAAGGATAAACACGAAGTTGTTATTGAAAAGGTTGTACGGAACAGGCGCAAATGTATCACTGTTGTGAAGGGATTGGAACTATTTGGTGAGCCACTTGCTTGTGTGCCTCTATTAAATTCTCACATTTGAGAACTTCATCTGCTGACTAGCTTGTACAAAAGAAGTATGTTATTTTCTGATTATGAGATATTACTTCAGGAGTTAAGCTTAGTGATGCTTCCAAGAAGCTTGGGAAAAAGTTTGCCACTGGAGCATCAGTTGTTAAGGTGGATATAATTATATGCATATGGTTTTTGTTTTTTTGTACTTGTTTTTACTATTTTTCTGATGATTGACTAACTTTAGGGGCCAACCGAGAAGGAGCAAATTGATGTTCAAGGGGATGTAGCCTATGACATTGTGGACTTCATTACTGAGACCTGGCCTGATGTAATATCTTTAATCATCTTGAGCCATTTCTTCATTGCTCTGTCTCAAGCAAAGCTAAATTGAATTTTCTTTCCCTTTATCTTTGCCCTTTCAGGTGCCTGAAGCAGCTATATTCTTCATTGAAGACGGGAAAAAGGTCCCAGCGGCTTGATGCTAGACTAGAGGTTCGGCACACAAACCTTGGTGCTATTTTGAGTTTTACTGCAGAGCAATGAACCAGTTTTGATACGAGAGGACAGAGTTTATGTTCGTTTCTAGTTGGGTAACTTCTCACCAAATGTTTGACAACCTTTTGAGGAGGGTTATAATCATATAATTGTGTATACCTGGGAACATTTACTCTTCCTTTCTTGAACCATGTTGCTTTAATATTTTTGCTTGCTGACTTGATGGGATATATGTACCCCTGATTGCAAGCAGTGTTTTTGATTGGTGGGTCCCGTTAGCAGTTCTTATTCGGGTAATTGTATGTGGGAAAGTTTAACATTTAGTCGATGGACCTGTTTTGAGGAAAGTTTCCATGTATCAAGATGCTATGGTGAATAAAGATTGGGTTTTTAATTTCTATAATGCTTTGTCTTGTTTCCCAGTCCATTCCCCATTTTAAAGCCTCCGCTCAAAAGAAAAGTAGGCTCAGCACAAGTGACCAGCCTAGCCTCTTTTTATTTTATTTTATTTATTTTTATTCTGCAAATTTTTATTACTTTTTACTTTTTATGTTTTAATCTTTTTTACAAATATTTTTAAGCAAACATGAATTAGATGGCGCACCTAATGCAACATGGATTAGATGTGTTGCAAGGGAAAGGAAAAAGAATTTTAAGACTAAATTTATTTAATTCTAATCGAATTAGAAAGACTATATTTTTTATAACTCCTATTAATATAAATAAGAATTTATTTATTTCTGATTGAACTAAAATGACTATATTCTTTATAATTCTTATTTTTAATTATATTAGAATTATCATATTCTTTATAACTCTAATTAGTATAAATAAAAATAAAAAGAATAAATTTTTACCACAAAAATACTTAGAATTTCCTTGTGTTAACACTCAAGACCATCATTAAATTATTATTAGAAGACTTCTATTTTCTACTTAAATTCTAGACTTTGTAAAAGTTATAAATACAAACTACTCATAAAAAATGCAATTCTTCAAAACTAAAGATTGCTAAATCTTTCTTACATGATATTTTTACTTTTAAGCTTCTGGTTATTTGTGTCAATATTGTATCTTTTTTACGATGCAATCATGTGCAAGGGCTACGGTTACCAATTTTTTATTCTTCAAAACATAATATTGATAGAGCTGTTCTGAATAATCAAGTAGGAAATTAATTCACAAGTCCATTTTTTCCCTCTTTTTTATGTTCGTATCGTACTCTCACATTAGCTACTATTATGATTTCTTCTAAAGCACAATGGCAATGCCACCATGTTTGGCTCATTGGATTCGAGCCCGTCCCCTGCCCATAGGAAATTGTTGTGTCAGCAAAGCAAAAAAAATTGTAGTAATTGTTTCATTAAAAAAATTATTATTAAAAAGCTAGTATTTTTTTAAAATTATAGTGTTAATGATGAAATATTACGTGGAAAAAAAAAAGAAGGAAAAATTATTAATGAAATCACAACGTAGAAAAAAAAAAGGTAGAGAATAACGAATTTCATCATTGCCTAAAAGCGGCAACCCATTTTCGGCTCTGTTGTTTGATGCGGAGAACTGTAAAGTTTGAACAAGGGAAATGTGCAGATACCTATATAAATTACTATCTTATTTAAAATTTAATAAAATTTACATTTTTAAATAAAAATAATGAAAGTTAAATTCTAATAGATACATTTTCTCAATTCTAAAATGAATATGTAGTTATTAATTAATCTTTCACTTTCTTGATTTATTCATTCATTTACATCTAGGCATGAGCTTCTTTTATCATTATTATTTTAA